TGCAATTGACATCAGAAGTGGGGGGGCAGTCTTGTGAGAGCGAGCCCTCAGCCTCCTCCAAGGAGACAGTGTCAACTGAACTGGACTGGAGGACCCCTAGCTGGTGTCTGCTGAAGAACTGATTGCTTGCTTGTTGGTGGGAAGAAAGCCCTACACATGCAGTCACAGAGGTCTTCTGTGTTGATTGCTGTGGTGTGAGAACAGAGAAAAAACAGCTTGTATTTTTTCCACTTACACAGACATAAAAGAATACATACTATGTAACTCCACTTGTATGAAATTCTAGTACTGACAAAAGTCAACTAAGGGACAAGAGAAATCTTTTTGGGGAATGAAAGTGTTCCACGTTTTGAATGGAGTGATGGTGAAATAGGTGTAACCATTTATCAAACTTTGCCACGTTGTACACTTAAGATTCACGCATTTTATCGTCAATGTACCTCATTTAAATTATACTTAAATTTTTCAAGTTTTTATCTGTAAAAATAACCTACTCTAAAATTACTAACCTTTCAAAATTCTCAAGAGATTATGAGCTTTCAAAAAGGCTCAACAGACAATGCTTTTCTCAATCTGAGCAAATGACATCTACATTCATCTAACTGTTCAATCAGAAATCTGAGAGGGATTCTTGACACATCCCTGTCATCCAGTTCTGAGGGTGCAAGTCCAGGTCATCTGAAACCCACTTCCTCCCCGCCAACTGTTACCATCTTAGTTCAAGCCACTAGCAGGTCTCACCCGCTCCAATGCAATATCCTCCTAACCTGTCTTCCGGTCACCTACCACTGCTCAGAAACTGAAATCTGATAAAGCCATTCTCTTGTTCAGGGCCCTTCAACGCCTTTCTCAGAACAAATGCCAGCATCTTTAACGTGAATCCCACACACACATCCCTAACCTTTAGTGTCCTCCCCCATGTCATCAACTGTCAATCTCATGCCACTTACCCTTTGCTCACTCCCATACTCTAGCTACATGACCTTCTCCAAGCTTCTTGTGAGTCAAGATCTTCCAGGCCTACAGCCTTCATTAATCCTGTTCCCGCCATCTGGAAGATTCTTCCCTTCGCCCTTCAAATGACTACATTCCCACCTCAGTCTCCCAGAGTGCTAGGATTACAGGCGTGAGCCACCCCGCCCGGCCCTGTTTAATAGTATTTAACATCAGTGCTTGCCTAAGCCCGAGGCCATGCAAACATCTGGCCAGTGAGAATCATCATAGGAGCTCTTCAACATGTTTACACTACTGAGATCTACCAATTATTCTCTAATATTAAAAGTCATTTTACTTATAGTCTCATTTATGTAAGCTTATTATATATAAACTCATTTATAAAGCAAACAGGTATATGTATTTGAGAACTATAAAACTGGCCAGGCATGGTGGCCATCTGGATTACATCTGTAATCGCAGCACTGTGGGATGCCAAAGCAGGTGGATCACATCAGGTCAGGAGTTCAAGACGAGCTTGGCCAACATAATAAAACCCTGTCTCTACTAAAAATACAAAAATTAGCTGGGTATGGTGGTGCATGTCTGTTGTCCTAGCTAGTCAGGAGGCTATGGCAAGAGAATCACTTGAACCCAGGAGGCAGAGGTTGCAGTGAGCTAAGATCAAGCCACTGCACTCTAGCCTGGGTGACACAGCAAGACTCCATCTTTTATATAAATAAATAAATAAATATATATATATATATATATCTGTAAATATCCCAAAGTTGAGACTTGTCTGACTTTCTGTTTCCTTAGCATCAAATTATTCAAAGTTAATGAGGCTCTACTTAATAATCTTCAGGTTGAGGGGCTGTGAATACCAAAAACAGAAATATAATCCAGAAAGCTACACTAAAGCCCATCAGGCAAAAATATGGGGTCCAGTTAATGTTACCGAAAACACACAACTCTTATCATATTTCTATAGTTCCTTCATCCAACAAATGTTTCTCAAACTCCTCTGCTACATCGGGCACTGCTCCAAGAGCTGGGGTGGACAAATGGGCCAAGTCCCTGCTCTCATGACACTGCACTCTAATGGAACAATTAAGGGAATTATGTCAAGTGGAAGTGCTATGCAGAAAAATGAAGGGAGTCAGGGCACAGGGTTATTGTCAGGCTATTCTTGAAAGGTTGGTGAGGGCCAAACACTTATAACGTGACTTGTGAGCAGAGACTCGAATGAAAAAATAACTTCACTAAATCCTATGATTCTTCAATGTTTTCAAGTTTGCGTCCAAAAGACTGAAATACATTAACTTCTTCCTTTTATTCTATAAATAGGGAAACTACCTGAACAGCTTCTGGAAAGTGGGGGTGGGGCCACGGTAGGTCAGCTGCAGTGAAGAAAATGTTGAGAAATTAAATGATAAACCCTAGGAAAGCTTTCTGTTCGAAACAGTGAGTTTCTAATCTTCAAAACTGAAGGGTCTCAAAGAATTTTAACGTGCACTTCCCCCAACCTGCTACCATCAGAAGGAAAAGTTGTCATCATCCCTGTTTTCTAAAGACAGAGATGAAAGCAGCCACTCAATTTCACTACTCATAATTATTAGAGGGAAAAGTACTCAGTGATGAAAATACTAACTGAGCACTGACAAGGAATACAAGACAAAGATCAGTACACCACTTTGGCTAGGAAAGAAAAAGAGCTAAAGGGAGAGAATGGTAACTAAGCTAATTCATTCATTTTATGTGTATCTTTACGATAAAGTTTGAGAAATTTTTTTCTAATATACTTTACCTTCCTGAAACCACCAGAGTCCCATCATCGAGTAAATAATCCTTCACATTCTGAGGAAGTGGAAGAACGACACTAAAAAAAAAAAAAGTACACCAAAAAAGGCGTCATTTTATAAGACCAACTCTAAGCAGAGAGAGAAATGTCCACGTCTGATTAATTTTTGAATTACTTGTTTTAATATAAAGTAGAAAATATTAGTGCTGTACATTTGGTAGCAGCAGACACGGAATTAGAACAGTATGATTACCACAATGGTCTTTGTTGTAAACAACAACAAAAACCAGCCAACTCCAAACAACCTGATGGAAATCACAATCTGAAAGCAACAACCTCAAAAGGATTCTGAGTGAGCACAACATTTCTGTGTCTTTAAGAAATCAGAGACAAGCAGATATTTGCTGCAACACAGGAAATGCAGCAGAACAAAGCAGAAGATGACTAGCATTTGGTCACCTTCTAAAGATAGAGGGCAGAAGTAGAGTCAGGAGCTGGAAACCATTCTTTGGGAATGAGCACCAACTGCTAAGAATTCATGATACCTTTGGATGTGTTTTGCTGGCATTCTATTCAACTGATCACCAGAGAGATAATGCTGCTTAACTGGGCATGCTTTAGCTTACTTTGTTTCAGTTAATCATAATTAAGGATGGCAAAGCCATACTTGAAGTTACTTAAAAACTTATGGGAATATTTGTCTTTTACCTTGAAATAATAAATAATCAAAAATCCCTACCACAGATATCTAAAAGTGCTACCATTATTTTGATCTTAAGACATATGTATTTTTTAAAGTGGAAAAGATTACAGCCTGCTTTCAGGGAGTCAACAGAACATCTATGCCTTATAATATGTCTCATTTATTTATGGAAAAAGTTTTTTCTGGCACATTACAAATAGTTTTTGTGCACAAAAAAAGAGTATTCATGGGCTACTTCGGTTTTTAAAATAAATATTTATCAAAGGTACGATTTCATATTCAAAAATCTAGTTCTTCCTTGGGCTTTTAAGTTCATCTAACAAATCTTATTAGTATGTTTGTAAATCTACTAAATTTTAACCAATTTGAAATGAGGCTTTGCAATTTAAAAGTCTCTTTAAAAATTTAAATTCTATTTATAAACTACTCAATTTTCTTTTTTAATATGTCTATTGGCTGATTACAAATAAGCTTTCCTAAGTATTTTACTCTTACAAAGCTAAGTAATGAAATTGTTAAGTACGATGAATCTAAGGTTCTACCAGACATTCCAATACTATTTGAGAACTTGAAACTCTTCTTATCCATTTTAACTGACAATTCTAAGCCAATTACACAATTTTTTCAAGTCCATATTCGCTCTTTATTGAACGAAACCATTATATAATGAATCAGCAATTACTGAAATGTTGGCTCGGAAAATCAGTAAGTGCCAACTCCAGATTTTCTATCAATACCTTTTAAAAACCTGACAGATGAAACTGTACATATTAACATTTACTGCCTACCTGATGTTTTTAAGAATATATACGTTGTGGAATAAACTTAGCTAATTAACAAATGCATTGCCTAACAGTTATTTTTGTGATGAGAACACTAACATCCACTCTGCGTTTTTCAAGAATATAACACATATACCGTTATTAACTATAGTCTCCATGCTGCACAACAGATCTTTGAACTTGTTCTCATATCTAACTGTAATTACATATTCTTCCACCTTCCCAAATCTCCAATGTCCAGGGAGGTGGCGAAAAGCAATTAAGTCACCGGGTGGCCTTAGGCAGTGATCACCTTGCGCCTGGGCCATTCTAAAAGTAGTGGTGGTGAACTCCCAAATCTAAACTAGGTTAATCCACTACTCCTCCCGCCTCCGACCCTCACTGAAACCACAACTGACCCTCCTACCTCCCCAGTACACTCCCTGGCTCGCAACAGGACGCAGACAATTGCTGATCTACTTCCCTCCCGACACACTCCCTTCCATGCAGTCGCTATGAGGCCTACATTTTTTTGGATGGCGTTAAGATTCGCCCACAAGTCGCAGTTCCCTTTGGCCGGTTGGCCCGGCGAAACCCCTCCCATCTCACCTCTTGATGGTAACGCCTCGGAAGAGCGGGTACCACGCGGAAAACTGACAGTGCAGCACATGCTCCTTCTTCATCCTCCAGCTGCGGACGCCGCTGCCTTTCCCTCTTCTGCCAGCAACCCTCCCGGAACCCTGGGCTCCGGCCCCGGAAGTGCCCGCCGAGCTATTTTGGTTCAAGGACTCTTCCGGTCCCGAAAGCAAGAAGGAAGACGGAGAAAAAGAAGCGCAGGAGGATCCCGGAGCATACGCTCGCACGCATGCACACAAAAAGAGCTTTAGTCTCGAAAGAGGAATTACCGAAGTGTGAGAAAAGAATTTTAAGAAGTTTACGACTCCGCCTTCGTCCTAGACGCACGCTGACCCGGAAGGTAATCACCTGAAACTCGGTCAAAGGCGGGGGCTCTACGGGTGCCGGGAGGAGGGCGCGCGCCTATCCTTTTAGGACCACGAGAGGCACCGGCGTCTGGAGCCGTGGCACCGGCATCTGCTGACACTGCTGCCTCCAGCGAGTTCTTTCGTCCTCTTCCCTTCTTCACCCCTACACCTTGGAGTAAGTAACGGGGCGCAGGCCAATCTCAGTACGAGATCTCTTTGGGGAGAAGAAGAAGGGGAGAGGGAGCACATCTGCATGGTACGTGCAGCCGCGCGGTGTCTGCCAGGCTGCGGCTGGGCACGCGTCCAGGCGCCCAAGAGGGAAACGGGATTGGAGCGGCAGAGCCTGGGCTGCTCCGAGTGAAGAGAGCGGGAAACACCACAGCTCAGTGTTAGTTCCAGTGTAAAGGTCGCAGCATCTGCAGAGGAGTAGAATGCTTGGTAGAAGGAATACCGCCTGTACGATCCTGGGGTGGGCTCCACTTGGGAGGTAAAAGACAAGAGATAAATTTCAGAAAGCAGAGGAAAAAGGAGTCTCGTCTTCTTGGAGCGCTGAATTCATTTAGTCTGGCCTTGCAGAAGTTATCAACCTAGAAAAAAAGAAAAAGATTTTTATCGGTATTCCTGCAATGATGGCAGCATAAGACTGGGAGAATTCGAACTTGTAATACCCTTCTTTTTTCCTTTGCTTCATCCTGTCACCCAGCAAAGTTCAGTTTTGTTTGTTTCGTTTAAAGAACGAGAAATAACCAGCTGCTTTTATTTATTTATTTACTTATTTATTTGAGACAGAGTCTCATTCTGTCGCCCGGGCTGGAGTGCAGTGGCGCAACCTCGGCTCACTGCAACCTCCGCCTCCCGGATTCAAGCGATTCTCCTGCTTCAGCCTCTCGAGTAGCTGAGAGTGCGCGTGCCTCCAATCACGAATAATTTTTGTATTTTCAGTGTATTTAGAGACGGGGTTTCACCATGTTGGTCAGGCTGGTCTCGAACTCCTGAACTCAGGTGATCCGCCAGCCTCGGCCTTCTAAAGTGCTGGGATTACAGGCGTGAGCCACCGTGCCCGGCCTACCAGCTCCTTTTAAACCCTAGCCATGTTGCCTACCTCATGAGCTCTCTGTGTCTAAAGGCGCACATTTTAGGTACCTCCTTAAATGTACATTCTTCCTGGTCCACCTAAGTAATTTTAAATTACAAAGAGATAGTCGCACCGACTGCAGGCCTCTTCAGAAGGGTATGCCTTAGGATAATAAACAGAATTACATATTTTGAGTTAGAAACTCTTCTCCTCAGGAATATATACATTGTTTTAGGTTTGGTTTTGTTTTTCTCAAAAATGTGAGTGGCTGAGTGGCGAACTGGAAGCAGTGCTTTGAAGAATACATTTTCAAACAGAGTATATTGGTGGAGGTTGGGCAGTAGTGATTCATTTATGCCTCCATCCGGAATTATGCAATTGTTTCTATTTTGAGGGAAAGAATTATGCAATTGTTTCTGTTTTGAGGGAAAGAAAGAAACCATCTCAAATAATTGTTTTGATTTGACTTAGAAAGTGAAAATATTGTATGTTTGTCTGGAGGGTGATACCAGAAAGACTTAATGGCAGACAGGAGCTAACGGTCTCTCAAATAATTGTTTTGATTTGACTTAGAAAGTGAAAAACTGCAGCGGAAGGAGATGTTAGCATTGATAGAGATGTATTTAGGTCAGATGTTTTCTAATGAAGATAGGAATTAATAAATGTATGGGAGAAAATAGATCCGGGGAACACAGGAGCAATACTTTAACAACCCAGGAAACATTTAAGCATAGGCCAGACGCAGTGGCTTACACCTGTAATTCCATCCCTTTGGGAGGCCAAGGCGGGCACATCACCTCCGGTCAGGAGTTTGGCCAGCCTGGCCAACGTGGCAAAACCCCGTCTCTACTAAGATTACAAAAATTAGCCAGGCCTGGTGGCACATGCCTGTAGTCCCAGCTACTCGGAAGGCTGAGCCCAGAGATTCACTTGAATCCAAGAGGCAGAGGTTGCAGTGAGCTGAGATTGCGCCACTGCACTCTGGCCTGGGCAAAAAGAGCAAGACTCCGTCTCAAAACAAACAAAAAAAAAAACAAAGAAAGAAATACTCGTTTTCAGTTGCCAGGCACAGTGGCTCACACCTGTAATCCCAGCACTTTGGGAGGCTGAGGTGGGCAGATCACCTGAGGCAAGGAGTTGGAGGCCAGTCTGGCCAGCATGGCGAAACCCCGTCTCTACTAAAAATACAAAAATTAGCCAGGCATGGTAGTGAGAGCTGTAATCCCAGCTACTCGGGAGGCTGAGGCAGGAGAATCACTTCAACCCAGGAGTCGAAGATTGCAGTGAGCCAAGATGACACCATTGCACTCTGGCCTGGGTGACAAGAGTGAAACTCCATCTGAAAAAACAAAAAACTTTACCTCATAAATGATCATCTCTGATACTTTCAAAGGAATAAGTGCCTGTTTTCTTAGTAGGACTGTAGGTTTCAATATGCTAAACAACTGTCTCTAAATATTTAAGGTTCTACGTGGCTTACTTATAAAGTCACCAAATTAAACAGGCCTTTCCTGATTACTCTTCCTGTCTTCCCCACTCTTCTCATCCTTTTTAATCTTTGTGAAACGTTGAGTCACTTGACATAAATTTTGTGTTTTTCCTCGGTTTCTCCTTTCTCACAAGAAAGTGAGGCAAGGGGGGTGGGGCCTTTGTCCTACTCACTGCCACTTTCCTAACGCGCCATCCCACCTTTCACGGTCAGCCACACGGGACTCAGCCAGGTTACCTACAGTAGCCAATCAGATACTTGATTTGTAAAGGCACTTTATGAATCCATGTACAGTTTGCTTTGTTGTTGATTGTATTTTAGGACAGGGAACCTTGCTGTCTGGGGTACAAATTGAAGATCAGGTGGGTAGTATAATTATCACTTTGAGTCCCAGAAGAAACAAAAAGCAGACTCCCTTTTTCCTCTCAGATACTTGGCAAGAGAGTTGATGCTGGGTGGGCTATATTTTCTTTGAAGCTGAAGTTAGGTGGGGCAGGTTAGGGAATAATGGGACCTGAGTGCAGTGGTGCAATCATGGCTCACTGCAACCCCCAACTCCTGCGCTCGAGTGACCCTCCTGCCTCAGCTTCCTAAGTACCTGGGACTACAGGTGCATACCACACCTAGCTAATGTTTTTGGTTTTTATTTTTGTGGAGACAGGGTTTTGCCATGTTACCCAGGATGGTATCAGACTCTTGGCCTCCCAGAGGGCTAGGATTGCAAGTGTGAGCCACTGTGCCTGGTCTAAGTAACCGTTCTTAAAAGAAATAACAGAGAAAAACATAGGGGAGGAAATTATCAGTGAATAATTCAGAAAAATTCCCTGTAAAACACAGTAAGAAGTTTATAGATTGAAAGGACCCACTTGACTTCCCAGTACAATAACATCAATGTGAAAATGTGGCTAACTACAAGCTTCCAGAAGAGGAAATCTTGTCACATGGCAAAAAGATCAAGAATCAGAATAGCTTTGGATTCTCAACAGCAGTATCAGAAGCAAGACAACTAAGCAGTGCCATGCAGTTTCATAGAAAATTGGCTTTGGGCCTCTAATTCTATATACAGCTGAAATATCAATCAACCATGTGTGTAGGAAAAAAAAGGCCTTTGGACAGACAAGGTCCAAAAATGAAGGAATAAACAAAGAAAGAGGAAATAGTAATACACAACTAATGGGATAAGGGCCTGCTCTTTTCTCTTTCCTTTTTTTGGAGACAGTCTTGCTGTCTGTTGCCAGGCTGGAGTAAGTAAAGTTAGTTTAGGTGTAAAGGATGGATAAAAGACTGAGAGGCAGGCATAGAGAGTGGTATATAATGTTTCTGCTGTCTTCCCTTGGAAAGAGTTAAGATTGGGAGTCAGAAAAATCAGGCTGGGCACAATGGCTCACACCTTTGATCCCAGTACTTTGGGAGGCCGAGGAGGGCATGGATCACTTGAGGTCAGGAGGTCGAGACCAGCCTGGCCAATGTGGTGAAACCCCATCTCTACTGAAAATATAAAAATTAGCCAGGCATGGTGATGGGATGCCTGTAATCCCAACTATTCAGGAGGCTGAGGCATGAGAATCACTTGAACCCAGGAGGCGGAGGTGGCAGTGAGCTGAGATCACGCCACTGCACTCCAGCCTCAGCAACAGAGCAAGACTCTCTCAAGAAAAAAAAAGAAAAAAAAAATCTGATGAAGAAGGTCTGTAAGTGTTAGAACATGCACAGCAGGAGCTTGGCTGGAGTGGCTGAGTGTGGCTAAGACTGCTGTCGCTTCCTTCCTAGCTGATCCCGGGGCCTCCATGTTCACGTTTGCATCTATGCCAGTTCCCTCAGAAACTGAAAATTTTAGCCTAAACAAATCTCATTATCTTGCAGGGTGAACTTCTCACCTGAGGGCGGTAAAGACTAGTTTGAAAATGGAGAGCCAAGAACCAACAGAGCCTTCTCAGAATGGCAAACAGCATATTATTTCAGAGGAGGTATAACTTTTCACTTTCCTTTCCCTCCCCCACATAAATCTGAGTTTAATAGACATATACAGGCTATTTGTCGTTACAAAGGATGGTTTTTCATTCTTGAAGACAGTTTTTGAAGATTTTTCCTACTCCCTTTTTTGGGCTCGGGCAGTTGCTCTTGTGTGCGAAGAGCGTGTCCCTCTGTGTATTAGTGAAATGGAGACTGTAGGTAGATTTGGGCTCTTAACAGAAAAATTCTTAATCCTGACTGTGTTTCCCTAGATAGAAATAGAGAGAGTAGATGGATTTGAGGATTCAAGAGATTTCATATGTAGTTGTCACAACTTGACTGTTCATGGTCCCAACATGAGTAAGAACAATAAAAACCTGCATTGTTAATTGTAGTCTCAATTCCAGTGAGTTCTAGAACCAATGATGTCTGTGCGTTATTCAATTTAGCTTTAAAAGTCTCTTCCTGCAGGAACCATTGCAATGGATAAATTTTAAATCCTTCTTCTTAGTGCTCTGATCTTCACACCTTTCCGGAATTCCTTTTGATTTAAAATCTTTCCATGTTGTCTGTGAACAGATCTGCTGAAAATTATTAGGTTGCTGCTGGCAAGAAGTGAAAGATAGGATAGGAGGAAAGAGGCTGCTGCTTTATGCACGCAGTGAAGCTTTCCCCTCAGTTCAGTATAGTGCCATAGGTAAGTTAGTCTTCAGCACCACAACTTCTCAATGTCCAGGCAGAACGAACCCGGGGTGCCCGTCTCCAGTTGGGTGGGAAACCCAGAAATCCACATATCATGATAGGAAATCCAATCCTGGACCTGGTTTCCCGACAGTCCGCCTTCCTGTATCATCACTGACAGGAAAATACCAATGTCCTAGAAATGCCCATTTCTACCTACTAAACTCACCTGTGTTGTATGCACTGAGGTCAGGGGACAGACCATCAGGAGCATCCCAGGAGACCCTCACCTTGTGTGCTCCCTTCCGGTTACCTCCACCACCACCCCCCCGCCCCCAGGAGTTTTTAGACTCATTTCTTTCCACCTGTTAGTACTACCCCCAAGAAATAGCAAAAAGAAGCAGAACTGCCCTTTCAGAAAACAACGCTGAACACCTACCTACTCTGAACTGAAAAACTTGCCCACAGATTATTGGGAAGGAAGCACGATTACTGGGGGGCTGGGAAAGGACAGAGGAAATGTAAAAGAAAAAACCCTTTTAGATAAAAACAACTTGGTTTGAAAGTTTCCCAACTTATTATCTGATATCCTTTTAGTTAATTTCAGAAGGAAAATGGGTCAAGCTTGAAAAAACAACGTACATGGACCCTACTGGTAAAACTAGGTAAACTTTGTTTTTTTCTTCTTCTAAAACGTTCATTATTTGGGTTCTCAGGTTATCTGTTGAGTGTTTTGCATAAACTTTGATGTTTTCTTTGTAAACTCTGTTTTAAATAAAAAATCTAATCTAGCCGTTTTTCTAGTGATAGGATGTTTGGATCATTTTTAATTGCTGAATACAGCTGGGTTGGAAACGTGTTACCATAACTAATCAGAAAACTATACAATTCTCCCTAAGTAGACAAGTGTAGACCTAAAACTTTTGGGCCAAACCTAATTGAAACTGATAAAGCGACAGAATAATTAACAGTTCATGTTTCTTCCTTCTAGTAAAATCAGTTTTTAATTTCTAAATTAGAAGAAATAAAGCTAAAACATTGCTAATTTTGAGGTACATGCCTGCCTCATGGAAATCCAAATCAGGAAAAAAATGTTTTATACAGCTTATTTCATAATATATGTCAATAGCCCTAAAGATATTGTGCCCTTTGACCTAGTAATCCCAGTTTTAAGAAAGTATTGAGGCCTGGGTGTGGTGGCTCACACCTGTAATCTCAGCACTTTGGGAGGCCAAGTGGTGGGGGGCAGCAGTCGTTTGAGGTCAGGAGTTCAAGACCAGCCTAGGCTACATGGCAAAACCACATCTCTACTAAAAGTACAAAAATTAGCCAGGCATGGTGGCATGGGCCTGTAATCCCAGCTACTTGGGAGGCTGAGGCAGGAGAATCGCTTGAACCTGGGAGGTGGAGGTTGCAGTGAGCCAAAATGTTGCCACAGCACTCCAGCCTCAGTGGCAGAGTGAGACTCTGTCTCAAAAAAAAAAAAGAAAGTATTAAGTAAATTAGTGTTCGGAATTAAATTTATGTATATAAAATGTTCAGCAAAATTTTAAAAGACAGAAAATTTGAAAGCAACCTAAATGTCTTAAAAATAGAAAATGAATTGTTATAGTGTATTCCCTTGGTAAAATCTCTGCAGCCACCGAAAAAGCAGATTCTGAAGACAACTGAGCAATATGGGAAAAGTTTATAAGTTGATCATAAAGAAGAAAAGTGTGCATATACTTTTCATACTCTGCCAAATAATGTGTAAGAAAAAGCCGGAAGGAAAATTATAGCAAAATAAGAAGCTTTGTGGTTAACCTTCTTTCTTTTACTTTCCAGATGTTTGCATAGTAATCTTTTGATATTATAAACTATCAGAAAAAAAAGTGTGAAAACAAATTTTTTAGTGAAACATAAAAAGGAATACAACAGAATGAGAACTAAATTTAGTGACCAGATCACATGATACAAATTCATCAGTATGAAAACTCTACTTGCAAAGTGATCCAATAAGAGTACACGATTTCCTTGTGATGAAATATGTCATCTAGATGCAAATGCATGACTTGCTAGTAATCTGAACAACTTTGATTATAGCTACTAAACTAGCAAAGCCCTTAATAAGGCCCAATGTAGGAGAGCTGTGGGAAAAATATTAAGAGATAGATAGCATTGTTGAATTAAAACCCAGCAGTAAGAAAGCTAAGCACAGTATGACCCATTGACGGTGTAGCTCTTCACTTAAAATGCCAAGCGAGTTTGATATGGAGAACTAAATATATGAAAGAAGTAGGGGCCAAACCCAATACAGAAATGTGGCAAGGCCCAAGTCTTAGGGAGCACCATATGTTCAAATGTATTTATATTGTGAAAATATAGAGAGGTTGGAATCCAGTGTATAGTGATACAATTTGGTTCTCTTTTTCCTATAATTAAGTTTATAAAACAAAACATAGCCCTTAGTAGGTGTAAAGATGTGTTTGAGGCCAGGCGCAGTGGCTCATGCCTGTAATCCCAGCACTTTGGGAGGCCGAGGCAGGTGGATCACTTAAGGTCAGGAGTTTGACACCAGCCTGGCCAACATGGTGAAACCCCATCTCTACTAAAAATACAAAAAATTCCAGCTACTTGGGAGGCTGAGACAGGAGAATTGCTTGAGCCTGGGAGGTGGAGGTTGCAGTGAGCCGAGATTATGCCACTGCACTCCAGCCAGAGCAACAGACTCTATCTCTCAAAAAAAAAAAAAAAAAGTGTTTGTACCAGCTCATCTCTTTGCCTGACTGGTCTTCTGCCCTTCCCGTATTTTGTAATCAGGGATGTACCTCAGAACCATAAATACTCAGGACTAAGTCTCGCTTCCAGAGCATCTGTTTCAGCAGATTGGGAGTGGGCTCTAAAATCCACCAAATGACCATATTTGTAGCATGTTCATGTCCATTCCTCCATACATAGGATTTTTTTCCTGGCCTCTGAGGAGGACTTACGTAAAGCATTAATATTTCATACCAGAATGTCAGGCTTTGAAGAATGAATCTTTGTACTTTTATAAGTTACAGGTTATGTTATCTGTGACCTGATATAAAAGCCTGTGTGTACAGGTTGAGCAGCCCTGATCTGAAAATCTGAAATTCAAAATGCTGCAATGTCCAAAACCTTTTCAGTGCCAACATGATGCCACAGGTGGAGAATTCCACATTTGACTCTATGTGACAGGTTGCAGTCAAAACACAGGCATACAACACAGGCATTCAGTGTCCTCAGGGGAAAAGGGACCCTCCCCTTCAGCTCAGATATAGCCTTCTTTTTTTTTTTTTTTTTTTTTGTTGACGGAGTCTTGCTCTGTTGCCCAGGCTGGAGTGCAGTGGTGTGGTCTCGGCTCACTGCAGCCTCCGCCTCCTGGGTTCAAGCGATTCCCCTGCCTCAGCCACTCAAGTAGCTGGGACTAGAGGTGTGTGCCACCATGCTCAGCTAATTTTTGTGTTTTTAGTAGAGACAGGATTACTGACTAGGCTGATCTCAAACTTCTGACCTCAGGTGATCTACCCACCTTGACTTCCCAAAGTGCTAGGATTACAGGCATGAGCCACCACGTCTGACCATATCCTTAAATTTATTTTTCATTTTTTTAGTAGAGACAGAGTCTTACTATGTTGCCCAGGCTGGTCTCAAACTCCTGAACCCAAGCAGTCCTCCTACCTTGGCCTCCCAAAGTGCTGGCTCAGGCATGAGCCACCACACCTGGCCCAGTATATCCTCTGCACACACACTGACTTCCCTCCACACACACACCCACAGGGGATAATGAAATGGCATGTGTGCAGGCTGGATGCCTCTACAGCAGCTTCCCCACAATATCCTATGTGGAGCCAAGACCTATGTGCATGACTCAATGTGGGGTTCTTTTGCTTATTTTCTGCTCTATGGGGTAAAGATACCACTGAAAATGTCAGAAGGCCTGCATAAGACCCAGAGGGTAAGGCAAATATTTCAAAACCTGAAAAACCAAAATCTGAAACACTTCTGACCCCCGACATTTCAGGTAAGGAATACTCAGCCTGTACAGCTGTCGCTTGGAACCTGTCAGGGTTGGTTCCAGGACCCCCTGCAGGTACCCAAATCCACAGATGCTCAAGTCCCTTGTATGAAATTGCATATATTCAATATGCATTTGCATATAACCAGCATACATCCTCCCATGTACTTCATCTGTAGATGAATCACAGTACCTAACACAATGCACATGCTTTGTAAACAATTGTTGTACTGTGTTGTTTAGGGAATAATGGCAAGAAAAAGTGTGTACATGTTCAGTACGGATGCAATTTTTTTCCCAAATATTTTCAGTTTGGTTGGTCAAATCCACAAATGCGGAACCCATGGATATGGAGGGCCAAGTCTAAGAGATAAAATAGCAGTTAGAGAATCCTGTGTTCCACTGTCTCATTCATGGAATTAATTTTAGAAATATAAAAATATTCCAGTGGCATGCGCCTTTCTTGACATTCAACATAGTGCCGAAGTCACCCTCTGCGACCCTCCTGCCTCTTGTGTTGGTGGACTACAGGGAGGAAGGCCAGCAGGCTTTCCTGTAGCAAAGGAGACTAAGAATAGGATGAGCTCACTGAAAGCAGAATCCTAAAGCTAGAGGAGGTTTCGGAGGTAACATACTCATTCCTGCTTTGTACAAAGGAGAGAAGAGTCTCCGGGAGGCTGGAGCGCTGGGCTTAGCTGGTAGGCAAACAGAGCTGACTTCCCATCAGGTGGACATCTCACAGGCCCTTTGAAGTTGCTGGTGCTCTCACGGGGCGGTCTTGTTCCAAGATTTCTCATAAATGCATTTATATTTTATTGTTCATGAATTATGGCTCGTTACTGCTTATTTACTTCACCGTAACCACGATAATGATGCTCCTCTTTTTGTTTCCCTTATTCCTAGTGTTTGGGATGGGACCTTCAGTGCTTTTCCCAGCACTGTCTTCAGTCTTTAGGACTAACCTTAAGAGGCAGCAGAGAGAGCTATGCCAAAGGTGTTTCATCTCTTGCAGTCTGTATGATGTACTTACCGGCACTGCTTGTTGGTCGGCTCCTTGCTACTAACAGGCATGTTGGGCTGCTGTGAGTTGTCATAGTAGTCTGTTTGATTTTCCTGTGTTCATTTTGACATATTTGCCCTTCAGAATCCATGCTGAAAGACCTACAATTTCCAGAAAGTCTGTTTCGTTGTTTTAAAAACCAGATTAAATATTTGAACAATTTTAATGAAAAAGTGACATGGTCCACATTTTAGGGACAGCCAGATAGAAAAGGAGGGTTCTTCCAAGGAAGAGATCTGGCAGCTCTTCCTACTGAGTATGCAGGTGGTAACTCCTTTCTATCCCAAGCCCCAAAGCCACCCATGGCTCATTTCCTTTGGAAGAGATCCTGAAATTGTTTGCTGAGCAGTCTCTTAACACTGCTTTTTCTATCATAGGGAGAAGAGAGTGAAGGGGAAATGTTTCTTTTATGCCTCTACCCTTTCAACTGCATTAATTGTTTCAGTAACTGGGTTTCCTGTACAACTGTGCCCCTTGTTCAAGGCCAGAAAGTAGAATAGCACAGATGTTACCCCAAAACTGAATTGGGTAATAGAAACAAATAGCTAACCAGGAATAAAGCCATACAAGACAGCAGGACCGTACTGTTACTCAGCTCACTTTTTCTAGATAAGATCTCACACATGCAAAGTAGAGCACTTGCCTACATTTAATAATTCCTCCATTCATAAATGGGAACGTTCTACTTTCCTAAATTGTATATTTTAGGTCACATTTTAAAAATCAGAATTATATCAAAATCTCAGTAGTTCATGCTGTGCACAGTAGCTTTGTTCTTAAAGATGGGATGAGGCTTTTCCTATGGCTTCATGTGCATTACCTGCTTGTTAATCCGTCACTGGCTGTGCTCCTTGCCCAAATACAGAGGATCCAAACTAAAGTGTTCTGAGAAGGCGGCAGCTCACATGCTCAGCAGGCTTTCTGTTTCAGGGGCACCCAGAGGCTGAGGTGTAGGGTGGCAAGAATTTTCATTGTTAATTTTCAGAAGCTATTTTAATGCAGACCTTTATTGCTGTGGTCTTCTTGACCAATATCATGAGTACATTTGCATGCATTGCATTTACGAAGTTCTGGTTGTACACAGAAAACCTAAGACAGTTCTCCTCTTTAGCACTAATGACTTTTTTCTTCTCTGCCTGAACAGAACTTGGGAATCAGTGAAACGTACGACCAGGAAAGAACAGAGTGCTGACGGTAGGAGTGCAAACCTATTCCAACCTGTCAGAAAGGAACTTAGCGCTGTGATTGAAAGAGGGGTTTTGATGGAACCAAGTTACCTTCCATTATGATGTTGTATCTTTTTTTTTTTTTTTTTTTTTTTTTAGACAGAGTCTGATAGAGCGAGGCTGGGCATGGTGGCTCACGCCTGTAATCCCAGCACTTTGGGAGGCTGAGGCAGGTGGATCATGAGGTCAGGAGTTCAAGACCAGACTGACCAACATGGGGAAATCCTGTCTCTGCTAACAAAAAAAAAAAAAATACAAAAAAATTAGCTGGGCATGGTGGCTCATGCCTGTAATCCTAGCTACTTGGGGGGCTGAGGTAGGAGAATTGCTTGAACCGGGACCTAGCAGGGGCAGAGGTTGCAGTGAGCCGAGATTGTGCCACCGCACTCCAGCCTGGGCTACAGAGTGAGACTCCATCTCAAAAAAAAAAAAAAAGAGAAATTGTTTATAGCCATTACTGGGGGGAAAAAAAGATAAAGTCTTGCTCTGTCGCCCAGGCTAGAGCGAAGTGGTACAATCTCGGCTCACTGCAGCCTCCACCTCCCGGGTTCAAGTGATTCTCCTGCCTCAGCCTCCCAAGTAGCTAGGATTACAGGTGCCTGCCACGACGCCTGGCTAACTTTTCTGTATTTTTAGTAGAGACAGGGTTTTGCCATGTTGCCCAGGCTGGCTTCGAACTCCGGATCTCAGGCAGTCCACCCACGTCGGCCTCCCAAAGTGCTGGGATCACAGGCGTGAGCCACCGCACAGGCCTATGATGTTGTAGCTTTAAATCTCCTGTTAGTTTTGCCATGCTACGTAACTAAATCAAGCTTTCTTTATAAGTAACTGCTGTCTTCTCTTATATACGCTCAGAATGGTGTTTTTGAGGGGAAGTTGTTCTAATGTTTATAACTAAATGTAAATTAGCATAATTTGAAGCCACACACAGTGTCTAGACGTGTTATGACTTCTAGCAGTCATTGCGTCCTGTTGAAAGGATCTGGGCAAGAGCCTTTAGTTTGGAAAAGTTACTTGGCACAGATTTACGCTTGTGAACCATTTGCTTACAAGTTGGTGAAGACATGAAATTGGGCAAAGCCCATTCCATTTACCTTCCCCTCCAGGCATGAATGCCTTGACTGCAAAGAGCCCAGAAGCCATCCCGAGCATCACTTCCGGTTGAGGGCAGGTTGGGCACTAGGCTTTTCTTAGTGTTCCGTTTGGTTTGGGTTTCTGTTTTTGCTGGAAGCAAACAGTGGCTGGGTGGCAGCTGCTGGGCTTCAGTGGATAGAACTGTGGGAGCCAGAGCTCCCTCCTGGGTGCTTTGTGTTTTTGGAAACCCAGTTGTTTTTGTTTTAATTTTTTGTTCGTTTGTTTTTTTTGAAATGGAGTCTTGCTTTTGTTGCCCAGGCTGGAGTGCAATGGCGTGATCTCGGCTCTCCACAACCTCTGCCTCCCAGGTTCAAGCAATTCTCTTGCCTCAGCTTCCCGAGTAGCTGGGATTACAGGTACCCGCCACCACACCCAGCTAATGTTGTATTTTTAGTAGAGATGGGGTTTCTCCATGTTGGTCAAGCTGGTCTCAAACTTCTGACCTCGGGTGATCCGCCAGCCTCAGCCTCCCAAAGTGCTGGGATTACAGGCATGAGCCACTGCACCGGCCTATTTTTGTTTTTCTTATGTTTTGATGAAGGACCAGTAACTTGAGAGCAAAGGTCTTTTACCCCAAAACCGTGAAATCAGTCTTGCTAGCATTTATTGCAAACAGTGGAACTTACTCGATTTATTGCTCAGAGTTGACCCAGGAGCACAGGGATGGCTGTGGCCTCACCTGTGCTAGAGCTGCCTCGGGCTGGGAAGCGGTTCTGTGGAAGGTTGGTGGAGGCAGAAACCTTACGTCCTTGACCCTGTAGGAAATGTTGGTTTCAGTTCTGATTTTAGTTTGAAGAAATTGTGACAATTAGACAGGCTTTTTGTTTAAAAAAGAAAATGTAAACAACATAGAAGCGATTCCTTTTAATTGCATTTTAAAAATAGCTTCCGAGATTAACTGCCAGTATAGATGGATGCAGAGTTTCTTAAAGTCTGGGGTTTTCATTAGCTTGCTCTAAACCACATGCTGGCGTTGCTGACCTCTCATTAGGGATTCCTTGGTTCCACTTCCTGGTGACAGGTGTAGCGGTCATCCCTGTGCTACAGAGAACGCTTCATTACGAGTGTATCGTTTTGGTGAAACAGTTCCGACCACCCATGGGTGGCTACTGCATAGAGTTCCCTGCAGGTGAGTCACTCAGCACTGAATTTTTTCTCCGGGATGTGGGCCTGAACCAGGGTAAAGCCTGAGAATTGCAAAGCTGAGCTGTGCAGTTTTCATCTGTCCTTGTGGTTCTAAGTAAAACTAAACCATTTCATAGTGAGGCTTCTCCAGGCCCCCAGGACACCCCAACAACTCTCTGAACCCATGAAGGTCATGACGCAAGGCCACCCCTCACCCGTCCCACCTCCTCTTGGCCATGCTGTCTCCAGCCTTTTGAGTAATTGCTCTTCCCCAGTTTGTCAGCTTATTTCATTGTCTGTCACTAGCAATCTGCTTCGACAGGAAATTTTCAAAAAGTAGGCCAGGCTTTTTTAGTGCTGTGGCATGATCTTGGCTCACTGCAACCTGTGCCTCCTGGGTTCAACCGACTCTCCTGCCTCAGGTTTCCAAGTAGCTGGGATTACAGGCATGCGTCACCACACCTGGTTAATTTTTATATTTTTAGTAGAAACGGGGTTGCACCATACTGGCCAGGCTGGTCTTGAACTCTTGACCTCAGATGATCCACCCACCTTGACCTCCCAAAGTGCTGGGATTATAGCCTAGGCCAGGCTCTTAACTCCCAAAAAATATGAATGGAGAAGACAGTTTGCTCTGCCCTATGGAAACAGGCCAAGGAGACTCTTCATTTTTGCTAGAATATTTTTCTCCATTGCACAGTAATTAAAGCGCTCCACAATTTATTGCCCTGTATTATTGTAGGACTTTACTGGATTGTTCCCATCTAAAGAGATTAAATCTCATCTGTTTATTAGTGGTATATGTTTTGTTTTTATTATTATTATTATTTTGAGACAGAGTCCCACTTTGTTGCCCAGGCTGGAGTACCTCTTGGCTTACTGCAGCATCCGCCTCCCAGGTTCAAGCAATTCTCCTGCCTCAGCTGTCTGAGTAGCTGGGATTACAGTCATGTATCACGATGCCCGGCTAATTTTTTATTTTTATTAGAGACGGGATTTGTCCATGTAGGTCAGGCTGGTCTTGAACTCCCAACCTCAGGTGATCTACCTGCCTTGGCCTCCCAAAGTGCTGGTATTACAGGCGTGAGCCACTGCACCCGGCCAGACTATGTAATTACTTCTAATGTTAACATTAATACTTTCTTTTCTGTGAGATGCAGTCTCTGTTGCTGAGGCTGGGGTGCTATGGCACCATCACAGCCCATTGCAGCCTTGACCTCCCCAGGCTGAGGTGATCCTCCACCTCATTTTTTGTATTTTTTGTAGAGACAGGGCTTCACCATGTTGCCCAGGCTGATCTCCAACTCCTGGGCTCAAGGGATCTCCCGCCTCAGCTTCCCAAAATGCTAAGATTACAGGCGTGCGCCACTGTGCCCGGGCTCTTTTTGTGAGACTGTCTTGCTCTGTTGCCCAGGCTGAAGTTCAGTGGCATAATCACAACTCACTGCAGCCCTGACTTTCTGGGCTCAAGCGAACCTCCTGCCTCAGCCTCCTGGGCAGCTGGTACTGCAGGTGTGCATCACCACATTTGACTAATTTTTTTTTTTTTTTTTTTTTGAGAAGGAGTCTCGCTCTGTTGCTAGGCTGGAGTGCAGTGGCGTGATCTCAGCTCACTGCAACCTCTGACTTCCTGGTTCAAGAGATTCTCCTGCCTCAGCCTCCTGAGTAGCTGGGACTACAGGCACATGCCACCACACCCAGCTAATTATTGTATTTTTAGTAGAGACAGGATTTCACCATGTTGGCCAGGATGGTCTTATCTCTCAACCTCGTGATCCACCTACCTTGGCCTCCCAAAGTGCTGGGATTACAGGCATGAGCCACCATGTTCAGCCCATTCAACTAGTTTTTAAGGTTTTTGTAGAGATGGGGTTTTGCTGTGTCACCAGGGTGTTCCCAAACTCCTGGCCTTAAGTGATCCCCTGCCTGAGCCTCCCAAAGTGCTGGGATTACTGGTGTGAGCCACCATGCCCAGCCAGTTTTTCATTGTATTTTTTAATTCCTTCCAGGAAAAAGAGTCTGCATTGCTGCTCCCTTTCTCCTCCTTGCCTCTCTGTTCACTCCTCACAGTGGCCATGGGCATCCCCTAACCTTCACCAGTTCAGTTTGCTCCTTTCTGACCTTCTATTGCCAGGCCTCAGTGTTTTGTTATGAGGGAGGAAGACAAGATAGGTGATGCTGTCAGCATCCTCCATGTCAGGAAGCAGAATATGAACAGGCTACCTGTGCTGCAGACACACAGCAAGCTCCCAAGCCTATGCCATTCGGCCACCACCAAGTCACAGCTCCTCTCAGATGCTGCCCATATCGTGCAGAGCAGTGTGGAGATGGTCGGGAAGGATCTGGGTCTGAATAGGAGGACTGGGTGATGCCACCAGAACCTTATCAATCTGCCCAGAATTTTATTCTTTTGCCTTTTTGTTTCTATAAAAATTCCAGGCTGGGCACGGTGGCTTGTGCCTGTAATCCCAGCACTCTGGGAGGCTGAAGTGGATGAATCACTTGAGGCCAGGAGTTCGAGAGCAGCCTGGCCAACATGGCGAGACTAAAAATGCAAAATTAGCCTCTACTAAAAATACAAAAATTAGCCGGGCATGGTGGCACACACCTATAGTCCCAGCTACTCAGGAGGCTGAGGCAGGAAAATCACCTGAAACCGGGAGGTGGAAGTTGCAGTGAGCCGAGATCGCACCACTGCATTCCAGCCTGGGCAACAGGGTAAGACTCCATCTTAAAAAAAAAAAAAAAAAAAAAAGTTCCAATCCTTAGGTTTCTCTGCAAGACCACTTTTCACAGTGCTCTGATTCTTGTAACGTAGTGCAGCACCCGCTGCGTTAGTAGAATGAGGGGTTCAAAGAAAACTAGACTTCCTGCTCCCATACACCAATGCTTTGGACTTCCAGGTCTCATAGATGATGGTGAAACCCCAGAAGCAGCTGCTCTTCGGGAACTTGAGGAAGAAACTGGCTACAAAGGGGACGTTGCCGAATGTTCTCCAGGTTGGTATTGCTTGAAAATTCACCAAGCAATAGACTCCTCAGGGTGGGAAGGGATTATTTGGGTATTCTTTATGCTGAGAATTCACTGAAGAGAAATCATAGATTAGGATTGGTTACCAAGTATAAGTGAGTCTCCCTGCCCAGGAGGAAATTGGAGGCAGAAGGGCCTGAAGTTGGGGGAAAATTAATGAAATTAAATTCTCTTTTGGCCAGGCGCGGAGGCTCATGCCTGTGATCCCGGCACTTTGGATGGCCAAGGCAGGTGGATCACCTGAGGTCAGGAGTTCAAGATCAGACTGACCAACATGGTGAAACCCTGTCTCCACTAAAAATACAAAAATTAGCTGGGTTATGGTGGTGCATGCCTGTAATCCCAGCTACTCGGGAGGCTGAGGGAGAAGAATCGCTTGAACCTAAGAGGCAGAGGTTGCAGTGAGCCGAGATCAAGCCACTGCCCTCTAGCCTGGACAGTAAGAATGATGTGAAACTCTGTCTCAATAAATAAATAAAATAGTCTTTTGGAATTTCCCACACCCTGAGCTTTACTGCTCACCCACCTCATCCTTGTGCCACCCTCGTCACTGGGCCTCCCAAAGTGCTAGGATTACTGGTGTGAGCCACCAATAATTTTCAATTTGATGTGGTAAAGAGATTTTACAATTTGTCAGTACTGGGAGCTCTGGGGAGAGTGTGGGTACCCAAATGCTTTGCAGCCTGTAGGTCTGCTGACCCAATGTGAGAGCTAGTTTTCCTACATCAGCTCCACGTCCACTCTGAGCTGCGAGACCCATCTTCCTAAGATTAGTAGCAAAACAAAAGACAAAGGGACTGAGGCATCTGTCCCTTCTCTCCACAGCTGTCTGTATGGACCCAGGCTTGACGAACTGTACCACACACATTGTGACAGTAACCATTAACGGAGATGATGCCGAAAACCTAAGGCCCAAGCCAAAGCCAGGTACGTGTGCATTGGCCATGTTGAAGGCGGTTGCGCTGAGTGTGTTGGAACTTGCTGCTAGTTTAATTTAGTAAAAGAATGTAGTCTTTCATGGAAAGAATCAGCTTTCCAACAGACTTCATCAGTATTCTTGTCTCTGCCTAATCATGTTTTTTAGCATATTTCTTTTACCACTTAATTGGTCTTTATGCTTTGTAGAAAAAGTTAAATGACCTATTTCCCTGTTTTCTGTATGAAGTGTATCCCCACCTACTAATACGAGCTGCAGGCTTCAGTAGTGAACAGTGAGAAACTTCAATCCACCCTGGTTTCTGTTTTCACGTATATTGTAAGAATGGCATAAGTTCCCCTGTAGTCCCAGCTGCTCTGGAGGCTAAGGCAGGAGGGTCACTTAAGCTCAGGAGTTGGAGGAGCTATGATGGTGCCACTCCACAACAGAATGAGACCTTGTCTCTCAAAAAAAAAAGGCCTAAGTAATTGTTAATGTATCAGTGATGTTCTTTAATTTCTTATCCTCTTCAGTTGTACATATTTATGTTTCAGTATCCCACTGCAACTAATTTTAAGTCTTAATTTTTGCCGGACGTAGTGGCTCACACCTGTAATCTCAGCACTTTGGGAGGCTGAGGTGGGCAGATAACTTGAGGTCAGGAGTTCGAGATAAGCCTGGCCAACATGGTGAAATCCTGTCTCTACAAAAAATAGAAAAATTAGTCGGGTGTGGTGGTGCACACTTCTTCTCCCAGCTACTCAGGAGGCTGAGGCAGAAGAATTGCTTAAACCCGGGAGGTGGAGGTTGCAGTGAGTCAAGATCACACCACTGCACTCCAGCCTGGGCAATAGAGTGAGACCCTGTCTCCCATAAATGTATAAATAAATCTTAATTTTTGAACTGCAAATATACATATGACACACTGTGGAAAAGTTTGGCAGTTCCTCAGAATATTAGATATATTTTATGAATATTAGAAATATTTTATGACCTGGCATTTCAACTCCTAAGTCTATACCTAAAAGAATTGAAACAAGGACTCATATTTGTGTGTCTGTGTTCATGGCAGCCTCTGTGGAAATAACCCAAGTGTCTGTCAAGAGATGAATTGCATACACAAAATGTGGTATACACACACACACACACACACACACACACACACACACACACACACACACACACACACACACACACACGCAGACACAAAATGTGGTACACACACACACATGCATGCAGGCACACACCCACATCCTGGAATGTTCTTCTACCATAAAGAATGAAGCATGCGACAACATGGATGAACCTTAAAAACACTGTGCTAAGTGAAATAAGCCAGACACGGAAGGGCAAATATTGTGATTCTACTTAGGTGAGGTGCCCAGAATGGACAAACTGATAGAGAAAGACAGTAAAGGCTGTTAGGGGTGGAGAATTGGTGTTGAATGGATACCGAGTTTCTGCTGGGGGTAGTGAAAGGTTCTGGAGATGGATACTGGTGGTGGCTGCGTACCATTCTGAATGTTACTTACTGTCACTAAATTGTACCTTCAGAGTGGTTCAAATGGTAAGTTTTTATATGTTCTGTATATTTTACCATAGTATGCAGATTCATATCTATTAAAATTACACATAGAATATGCTTTAAATTTTGCTCCTAAACATTACATGGAGAAGAACTTCGTACTAACAATGTATATAAATTACGTTAGCAGAGACCCAGGTTTCTGTGAAGTTCTCAAAGCCTTTTCGATGCGTCTTGCATAAAAGTCTTCCAATGTGACCACTCCAGGCTTTGCTGAAATGTTCTCCTTCTGTTTATTTCCAGGGGATGGAGGTACGTTCTGCAATTCCTGGTGGCCGAGCGTGTGTGGTTTAGTGTAGTGGTAATGGCTGCAGACATTTTGGGTTGTTTTGGTAGGCTCTTGACATTAGCTTTGTTTTCACTTGCACCTTGTCTGTTTAGAATTTGTGGAAGTCATTTCTTTACCCAAGAATGATCTACTGCAGAGACTTGATGGTAAGCATTCTCCAGACTGTCACCCAGCTTTCTCCGGTTTTCCCCATTCCTATCGCAGCAAATTGGGTTCTAAATATAACTCCATTTCTTTATCTTTTCTGTATCACTAGTCACATGCCTAGAAACTTGTAAAACTGCAGTTGACCACTACTAATTTTCCTTTCTGAGTGGCACAGAGGGTGAAAACAGGAGCAAAGCATTCAAGTGCAAGCTTTTGGTAGGGGCTTTTTCTCCTACAGAACGGTCCAGATGACATTGCTGCTGAGTTGCCAAAACGATTCTCCACTTTAAACCTTCAATCCATAGCAACGCAAAGGTGTGGGTAGATAGACCGTTAGCTTTTCCTCAACTACGCTAGTACAACGGATGGTCCTTTGTGGAGGGTATAAGTTCAAGGAGAAATTGACAATATTCCTTCCACAAATACTTGAGGTAGCTCCAGTATACTCGGCGTGATATGTTCTTCACGTATAAACCAAACTAGCTGTGTGGCCCTTTGAAATCGCTGGTCATGTTGATCCATCGTATAATTCTTGGCTAGCCCACCTTTTAGGGACTTTGTAAACAGTAAGTAAGCTTAAGGGGAGAGAAGTCCTTTGATAAAACCACAAGAGGAGATACTGTATGGAGACATGGCATGGGCCCATCAAGGAGCGCCTCTGACCTGGCTGCTAAATCCCTTTTCACTCATCCATACAGAAGCAGACATGTTTCATCGTGTGAATATTTTATTGGGTCTAAGTGTTTTATGTAATTGATACATGACTTTTCTACTGTTTTTTAAATGATTACTTCAAATGTGACCTGAAGCACTGTTTGACCTGCAGCTTTAGGACCAGCTTCTTAAGCTTTTCCCTGAGCATCAGTGGCTTACAGTTTTAATAAGCAGAGCGCCTGGTTTTGAAATGTCTGTTGTTTGTTTGAAAATTGGAATAGATCTTTCAAAGGCTGCTGTCATTTCTTTGTATAAAATCAGATTTCAGATCCCTAGACAGCTTCCACTCCTGTTCCACCTTTCTAAAAACTAGACCTAAGGTGAAGGCCACCTTGACAGCTCAAAGCTAGAGTTAGGCAATCAGACTGAAGAGACACAATAATTTATCAGGTAAGTATTTAGAGAAAGCCATGGCAGTCAATACAGGCAGTGCAGCTAGGAGCCACAGGCCAGCTCGGTTTGAGGCTCCAGTTTGAGGCTCTGCTGACCATAATCAGCTATCATGTCAAACAGGTTCTGTAGCCTCTCTCAGCTGTTTTCATAAAACAGGAACAATAATAGCCCCTCCTTCTGAGGAGGTATGTAAAAAGTAGGATGCTGTAGGCAAGCGTGAAATGCCGTGCATAGTTATTTTTTAGTAGAAGAATATCCTTTTTAAATAGTCTTCCTTCTCCCTTCCACCTAACTTCACTTCCCTTTTGGTCTTAGAAGAGGGAGAAAAAATAGAGTAAGAGATGGGAGGTGGAGAGAGGGCTATTATGACTCTAAAGGAGGAGGGATAAAAGAACCGAATTGGCTAGCTTTAGTACAATCAAAATATAGCAAACCGTTTATTCAACAAGCAACATTTGAGAAGTCACAAGGAAGGTAGCGTACTTTAAGATCAGTTTGCTGGCCACGCACGGTCTTCACGCCTATAATCCCAGCATTTTGGGAGGCCGAGGTGGGCAGATCACTTGAGGTCAGGAGCTCCAGACCAGTCTAAACATGGTGAAACCCTATCTCTACTAAAAAAAAAAACAAAAAATTAGCTGGGCATGGTGGTGTGTGCCAGTAGTCCCAGCTACTCAGGAGGCTCAGGCAGGAGAATTGCTTGAACCCGGGAGGCGCAGGTTGCAGTGAGCCAAGATCGTGACACTGCACTGTAGCCTGGGGGACAAAGTGAGACTCCATCTCAAAAAAAAAAAAAAAAAAAAAAATCAATTTGCTACAAAGAGTAGCATCTACTAGTTACCAAGCACCTGCTGTGCCCAGGTAAATAGGACATGCTCCCTGTCTGCTGATGTCCCCAAGCTTGTTCCCAAGAAAGTAGCTAGGGAAACGAGGCTGATTTTACATTTGGCAGCCTCCATCTGAGTGAAACAGAAATTTTAATGAAAGCCCGTGGTAACGAGGTTCTGAGACCTCATTCTTGGTAGTTTACCTCCAGTCCTAACATGCACACCATTTAACTTGCCAGGGGAGATTCTGTATCCCCTCGCGGCGGAAAAGACACGTGAATCCCTAAGTTAAGATCCTATATAATCATCCCCATCAAGTTTCAGAATAGCAGATCCCTACCCCAGCTATAAATTAGGTATAGTGACTGGCTCTATAAACTTCCAACTCTGCCGTTTTAACACATAAAATCATTACGCCTGATGTTCTTTTCTCCTGCTAGGAATGTAATCTGGCCTTTATAGTCTATTCTTTGACTAAGATCCTTACAGGCAAAAAAAAAATGTATCACCAGCATCTAGCATAGGAACTGGTATATAGTACTTACTCCACAAATACTGACTGAATAAGATGTTTTGTCCTTCATTAACGGCATGAACTAAGATGTTTTCTTTACTTTCCACAGCTCTGGTAGCTGAAGAACATGTTACAGTGGATGCTAGAGTCTATTCCTACGCTCTAGCGCTGAAACATGCAAATGCAAAGCCATTTGAAGTGCCCTTCCTGAAATTTTAAGGCTAAAGATGACGCTGGCCACTTCTGTAAACGAGACCACTAGGCCTTCTTCACTAAGACTTTGTCTTCAACTTAGCTTAATGTAGATTTGAAATTAGCTTTTTCATAAAATAAAAGCAGCACAGAATGCATGTGGTTGTGGTATGGAATTGTAATTACAGGTAGGTTGTAACCTTTTAAATTCGTTAAACTCCAGCCAAAATTAACGAAAAACAATATAAATGCAAGTACGTTTAAAGTTCAACAGCAGTTAATGACAACTCAATTACTTTTCTAGTCTAGACTAGTAGACAGGGGTATTTGTATGGGAAAACAGACCTAAGTTCCCAATTAGCTCAAGTATTTCCACCCTCAACCCCCAATATAAAAAATTCTATAGCTGGGTATGCAAATAACCGTGTACTCCATTAGTGTTAAAAATAGCTTTAAAAAGAAAAAAAGTGCCAATGATGGTGACTGCCATCAAGTTAAAAAAAATAAAAAAAAAAAAAAAAAGAAAAGAAAAAAAGGACTTTTTGGCTTCTTCTAACTGAATTTTTACTATGCACAATTCAGCTAGGATAGTTGAATACAAATAGGGGAAGATTCAATAGAATCCTCTACTAGTTTTAAGTCCACCTATTTACTGAAAGCTGAACCAGCTTTTAAGTAAGGAAAATGGTTGATTCCATTCAGTACACCAAAGCTAGAAGACTAATGAGAATTCAGGGCCATCCCTCAGGCTTCTGCATATACTTGAGGATCTCTTTTCCCATCCTTACCTCAAAGACTACTAAAAGTTTCTGAAAACAAATCTTTAAGACTGACATGGTTTGGTGCACTATTATCTTGATGTTAAACCATGAACAGGACCAGCAAGATTAGCCAGTACCTGAAACCCAATACAGAGTACTTCAGAGCAAGAAGTGCAGGTTGACTCTGGTTCCCATGCCTGAAACTGTCATCTAGCAGTTCTCCCCGTGTTCCTGGGCTATTTTCTTACCCTCTTAAGTGAGTTTAGCTCTTTTTGTGTTGACTTTTTGGCCTCCAGCACCTCCATGATTTTCCAGGACTCTTCAGTCTGGCCCCACGGAAGTCTCAGGATGATTCTCATCCAGCCATAAGTCATGTTTCTAGCCTGGATCCGGCGGGTAAGCCAGGCCCCGAGAATCATATAAAAGGGTTGTCTAGATAAAATCAGGGTGCTAATGCCAGAATGCTACGATGTCATCGATTTGTCCACAGGCTCATAAAAGATACTTTTATGAGTGAAACTCTAAGATCTTTACACTGGTCTTCTTAAAGTTAACAATTATGGAAATATAGAACTTTATAGATGAAGTTATCTAGCCCTATACATGTGAAAATTAAGATCCAACTACTTCCTATAATGGTAGCCTTCCCTGATGCCTCTAACCCTTTTTTAAATCCTGATTTCAATCACAGGCATTGTGATTCTCCAAAGCTCTAGCCCTTTCTTGAGCTCTCAAGGCCACATCCTGTAAGGGAAACCGAGAGATGGCATCTGGAGATGGGCACAGCCCAGTATTTCCACGTTGCCCAGTTCCTCCCCAGCTACTCCCCACAGGAATGACCTCTGCAGCTGACCTTTGTCCTTCCCTTCTTCCTAAGAGTGCAACTTAGATGTGACAACCAAATCCTAGAATGTATCTCTAAATGCCATTTATTTTTTTTTATAAATGTAAGAAAGTTGTGCTTCGGAAATTGAGTCTGTTTGAGAACTGGCAGTCCAGCTGGCACTGTTTAAAAATCTGCCCTGCATTTAAAAACTGAAGGTTTCCTATGTATTAAAAGCCTTATTTCCACCAAAAAATTGGCATAACAACACTGGGTAGATGTTTTTATGGTAACAGTGGTCTGGGGCCCTTGGGAGATGTTCTCCAATGAGCTATTGTTAATGTCCTGCCTGCCTTTATCTGCCTTGCCCCTGTAATTATTTGGCTTTGTAAGCATAAGCTAAATAAGAGATACTATACTTAAGAAAGTACCATACTTCTGAAAAGGGTCTCCTTTAAAAATTAAGTTTGATCTTGGGCCGGGCACGGTGGCTCAAGCCTGTAATCCCAGCACTTTGGGAGGCCGAGGCGGGTGGATCACAAGGTCAAGAGATCGAGACCATCCTGGTCAACATGGTGAAACCCCGTCTCTACTAAAAATACAAAAAATTAGCTGGGCATGGTGGCGCATGCCTGTAATCCCAGCTACTCAGGAGGCTGAGACAGAAGAATTGCCTGAACCCAGGAGACGGAGGTTGCGGTGAGCCGAGATCGCACCATTGCACTCCAGCCTGGGTAACAAGAGTGAAACTCCGTCTCAAACCTGAGTAAAAAAAAAATTAAGTTTGATCTTTCGGGAAATAAAGCACATAGTTTTTAAAGTAACTTAACAAAAACTATGCTCTTTCAAATGCAGACTGGGATACTGCTTTGAGGCCAGTTTTCCTGTTCCCTCCCAAATGTTAGTCACAGATATGAGTACCCTTAAGCTGGTCACTGTCCCTCAATAATTTCGGATTAAAGCTGTAAGTGTAATTACATTTGACTTTTTTTTTTTTTTTTTTTTTTTTTTTGAGACGGAGTTTCACTCATGTTACCCAGGCTGGAGTGCAATGGCGCGATCTCGGCTCACCGCAACCTCCGTCTCCTGGGTTCAGGCAATTCTTCTGCCTCAGCCTCCTGAGTAGCTGGGATTACAGGCACGCACCACCATGCCCAGCTAATTTTTTGTATTTTTAGTAGAGATGGGGTTTCACCATGTTGACCAGGATGGTCTCTATCTCTTGACCTCGTGATCCACCCGCCTCGGCCTCCCAAAGTGCTGGGATTACAGGCTTGAGCCACTGCGCCCGGCCTACATTTGACTTTTAATAGGCATCTCAGGGTGGACTTTATGAATCCACTGAACCTCTACAAATATTCTAAGAAAACATTTAATATCAGATTTCTCTTTTTCCAACACAACTGAATCAGTTTTCTTAAATAAAAGTTTATTGTCTACTGTTTACACTCACGTTGCTGCTGTAAGTACAACAGACACAAATTCCTAACATGAATTACTCATTGTTCACCCCCACTGAACTACAAGCATTGCTTGAGAATTAGATCTTTCTTTGCTTTAGGGATTTAAACAGAAAAGAACTGGGGCCTATAATCTTGAAAGAGTCTTCTCAAGTGACTGGTTGGAGTTAGAAGGCATAGCCAATACAGGCCAACAGCACTGATGATGCTGTCACTGGGAAGAGAAGAGGAAGAGGCCTTAGAAGCAGCTGTTTCTAGTAACAGAAATATCTGGAGACTTGAGTTTGCCCATGTGGGCTAAGTGGCTGCTTTGAGAAGGGACAAATAAAAATGAGGTGGGGGTGGGAAGTGGGGATACCATGAGTTAAAAAAGTATAAAAAGTAATTATCTAAAATATAGATTAGATATAAATGTTCCAGAACTCATTAAATAAGCTCAAAAATACTGGAAAGTGGCAATTTGAACTACATTTATTTTTAAACAAGTGGGGGCAATATTAAGTGTTTTGAATGTTGTGTGCAAAACTAATCCATGTCACCATCTCACTGTCATGATTTAACACAGCAAGGTAGATACATTGGTTTCCAGCATTACAGGCAACACTAGATGTACATTTTTTAGCGAATAATGTAAACTTGAGTTTTAAGGCAGCGGGTACTAATGCTGCGCAGACTTAGCTCGGTGCCCGTTTCAGAAACAGGTCAGTCAGCACTTGAAACAAGAAACTGTGAGGGGAGAAAAGGGAGCCACCGGTGTCATGTGACAAAAACAATCCGTCAAAATGTTTTCCCTTACACACGCACAAAATGAAATATTTGAACATTTAGAAAAACAAAGCACCCATCCCACCAACTTCGGCCTGTTCTTTCACAAATATTTCAAAATACTGATAGATAATAGTGACTGCTAGCAGAATTCCAGTGCCGGATCCAATGGCCCCCAGGAAGTCGGCCAGCACCGATAGGGCACCAATGCACAAACCGCCAAACGCAGCCGCGGTGGGGATGTACCTAGGAGACAGAACCCCGAGTTAGGCGGCGGCGAGACCATGAACAGCACAGCAGTTAAGAGAAGAGACAGGCCACAGCGCAGCAGCCACGGTTGTGTCTAAAGCCTCTGAACTCCAGAAGGAACAGGCCGCCATGGGGAGGGATATGCAGGATACAGCATGGGAATGGGAGCTCAAATCCAGGCAGAGATTCTGACCCTAATTTCCAGAAACCAGTCAACAGCTGAGAAAGACGATGCAGGATCTTACAGGAGACTAGATTCCTGGACAGATTTAAATATTAAAATGTTCAATGTTTTTAAATGAGTAACCTTTCGTTCCCTCTTGTGTTATGGAATGAAGAGAAAGTTTCAAAATGCTTTCTAAGTATCAGCGTAAGATTTTGATGATCCACTTCAGTAATTCAACTTCGGCTGTACATTAGAATCACCCAGAAAACTTAAAAATGGGATTTAAAATACTCGAAAAAAGCTTAAACGCGGTGATAGATGAAACAAGAACAGCAGGATGATGAAAAATGGAGCTGGAGATTCATCATACTACTATGCAGACTGTGTTCTAAATAAACAGAAAGTTTGTGAAAATACTAGTGCCTTTTCAACAAATGGTGCTGGGACAACTAGATACCCACATGCAAAAGAAGGAATCTGGGTCCCACTGGGCACAGTGGCTCAGGCCTGTAATCCCAGCACTTTGGGAGGCTGAGGCGGGCAGATCATGAGGCCAGGAGTTCGAGATCAGAGGCTGAGTTGGGCAGATCGTAAGGTCAGGAACTTGAGATCAGCCTGGCCAACAAAGTAAAACCCCATCTCTACTAAAAATGCAAAAATTAGCCAGGCATGGTGGCAGGCACCTGTAGTCCCAGCTACTTGGGAGGCTGAGGCAGGAGAATCACCTGATCCCAGGAGGTGGAGGTTGCAGTGAGCCAAAACCACGCCACTGTACTCCAACCTGGGCATCAGAGAAAGAGTCTGTCTCAAAAAAAAAAAAAGGAATCTGGATCCCTAACTCACACCAAACAAAAAAAATCAACTCAAAGCAGATCAAAGGCCTAAATGTAAAAACTGAAATTCCTAGGAGAAAGGAATAAATTTTTGTGGCCTT